ATCAGCACTCTCAGAGGAAATGATTACCATTACAGTATAGATAGCTAAACCTCTTATCAGCACTGTATTATTCATTAATGTAATTTAGACTGAGAGCAACCACTAACTCTGGAGCTGACATATTGGCAGGCCATGTATTAACCTAGATTTCCACCCTGTCGTTTAACAACTCGGTTTCTTGGCAAAACTCACACTCATCTTCTTTATCTAGTATCACAAATCATGTTCGTCAGGAGAACACCCTTGTTTTAGACTCCAGACCAGGAAGAAATGCTTTAAAAACATGGCAGAACCCAATCGGAACTGCATATTTGAACAATGATGGCATTTGGGTTATTTTGTGTTTCCCAGATTCAGAACATCTCAACAATGCGTCAGCGGCAGCAGGGTGTGTGTGTGTGAGGTAAGAGCACAGATTAAGTGTAATGGATGATTAATAAGACTTGACTTCCTGACTCACTGTAGCAATTATGGCCATGTCTTTTCTCAGGCAGCACTTTCTCACACTGCTCAGGAGAACACAGCCAGCACTCACAGAACATGGGTGTGTGAGTGTGTGTGTGTGTGTGAGAACATGTGCTCCCAAACTGATTTCAGATCACCATGTAGCCCACCCGTCATCGCAACCCCTAAACCACCAAGGGTTAAATATAATCAATCTTCTTTAACCGTACTGTCAGAGCTCCCTGGTGGAGGAACAGAGACTGGCTAGCTAGCAGGCTGAGAGAGTCGAGAGAGAGAGAGAGAGAGAGAGAGAGACACTGTATATATACATAATATGACATTTTAAATGTCTTTATTCTTTTGAAACTTCTGAGTGTAATGTTTACTGTTAATATTTATTGTTTATTTCACTTTTGTTTACTATCTACTTCACTTGCTTTGGCAATGTTAACACATGTTTCCCATGCCAATAAAGCCCTTAAATTGAAATTGAAATTGAAATTGAATTGAGAGAGAGAGAGAGAGAGAGAGAGAGAGGGGGCCTGGCTAGCAAGCTAAGGTAAGGTTGTGGTGATAGCAGTGGTGATAAGGCCTATCAGTTTCCCAACCTCCCTCCTTCCAGCCTGTGTGTGAATGTGTGCATGTGTGTTTGTGTGTGTGTGTTTGTGTGCGCGCTGGCCTGTGTGTGTGTGTGCTTGCTAGCCTGCGTGTGTGTGTGAGTGTGTGTACCTGTGGTGACTTGTGGCTCCTCCAGCTGTACTGGTGGCTGTGTAGGGAGGGCAGCAGGACGTTCTCATCAGTGTCCACCTGGCCGAACCTCAGGGTCTCCTGGGTGTCATTGACAGAGCACATGGTGGCTGAACACCAACTCCTCCGCACCACCATCCCCATTCTAGAGAGAGGAGAGAGAGAGCAGAGAGAGAGAGGAGAGAAGAGAGAGAGAGAGCAAGAGACAGATAGAGGAGAGAGAGAGCAGAGAGAGAGAGAGAGAGAGGAGGCAGAGAGAGAGAGGAGAGGAGAAGAGAGAGAGAGAATAGAGAGATAGAGGAGAAAGAGTGAAAGAGAGAAAGGGGGTATAGGTCCCAAGAAGAGAGATCACAGAGAGAGAGATAACTGAGAGAGTGAGATTATCTAGAGAGAGAGTATAGATCCCCCTTAATCTGTCTCCCCTTCCCTAGCTCTCCCCCTCCTCTCTCTCTTCTCTACATGAGACATATCGAGTTACCCGTACATAGTATCACCTATTGAGATAGGAGACTATACTAGATAGATACTATGCGATCTATATAAATAGATAAATCGATAATACATAGAAATGTATATAGTAGTCGAATACTATATATTCTATATCTATCTCTATAGATAGATCTCTAATATTCTATTCGTATATCTATATTCTTATTTTCTAAATATTGATTCTATATAGATCTAAACAAACATATATATAATATAGACAATAATCAATATATAGAAGATATATATATATAAAGTCGGTGAAGAAAAACAAAACAGACGGCAGAACATTTTCAGCTCTGTGTTTGTGTGTGTAGTGAGTGTGTGTCTGTGTACATGGTGCACCCTCGTATATCAATGAAGAGAACTGTAGATATTGTGGTCAAGCCGTCACATTCTGGGCTTGTGGGAGAGTGAGTGACATCATATCTGGGAGGACCACAGCCTCCTGACCACAGCCTCTGTGGGGTGTGCTTACCATGTCAAGACCTGACCCAGCTCCAGGTCTTAATTGGTCTTAATTGGTCACTGATAATTTCAGGGCTGAACCAGTTCCAGGTCTTAGTTTTCACTTCATTCGTTTTAATTTAGTTGATCAAAACCTTTCTATTTGTAAAGTATCCAAGGAGCCATGTATGTGTTGTATAAGGTGATGGGTCAGGTCAGAGATTAGGTTGGGTTTAAAGGCAGGCGCCAAGTCAACAGTAGTAGTGGGTCCATTTCCGCAACAACCAGGAGAGCTGAAGCGCGAGGCTAAACTTCTCTGCTGTTTTGGTCCCGTAGCCCACCCATGCACATGCACAGATACTCTGTGTGACGGTGTGAGAGAAAAGTGTTGCATCGTGCTCACCTCAATGGCCGCGTTAGAGCGGATCACTTTTGACAAGACTTTCAAAGTGTGTTGCATTCTGGGGATAAAAATTGGCAGACTTGCGCCTACAGGTCAACTGCGTGAACTTGACAAAAATCATGTGATCAAAGGTCATGAAGTTTTGACTGCAGTCGACTGCAAGTTTCTGCAGTTGCTCTTCCCCAACTTCATCCTGCAGCCATCGTCTGCATTGTGGGAGGATCTGTTATCAACCACTCATCAGGGTGTTTTTGTTTGACCCACTTGAACTTGACCAAAGACGTGACAGAAACAGGAACCAATTTGCTGTGGATATATACAAATAAATGTGATATTTGAGTCTGTCTCTCACTAACTGACTGTACATTGTACACACAATATTATACTCTGATTTCAGTTTGTGTGTGATATGAGGGTTAGATACACTACATGACCAAAAGTATGTGGACACCTGCTCGTCGAACATCTCATTCCAAAATCATGGGCATTAATATGGAGTTGATCCCCCCCCTTTGCTGCTGTAACAGCCTCCACTCTTCTGGGAAGGGTTTCCACTAGATGTTGGAACATTGCAGCGGGGACTTGCTTCCATTCAGCCACAAGAGCATTAGTGAGGTCGGGCACTGATGTTGGGCGATTAGGCCTGGCTCGCAGTCGGCGTTCCAATTCATCCCAAAGGTGTTCGATGGGGTTGAGGTCAGGGCTCTGTGCAGGCCAGTCAAGTTCTTCCACACCAATCTCGACAAACCATTTCTGGTTATTCCAATGGCAGCGAGCTTTACACCACTCCAGCCGACGCTTGGCATTGCGCATGGTGATCTTAGGCTTGTGTGCGGCTGCTCGGCCATAGAAACCCATTTCATGAAGATCCCGACGAACAATTATTGTGCTGACGTTGTTTCCAGAGGCAGTTTGGAACTCGGTAGTGAGTGTTGCAACCGAGGACAGATTCTTTTTACGCGCTACGCACTTCAGCACTTGGCGGTCCCGTGGTCCCGGTCCTGTGAGCTTGCGTGGCCTACCACTTCACGGCTGAGCCGTTGTTGCTCCTAGACGTTTCCACTTCACAATAACATCGCTTACAGTTGACCGGGACAGCTCTAGCAGGGCAGAAATTTGATGAACTGACTTGTTGGAAAGGTGGCATCCTATGACGGTGCCACGTTGAAAGTCACTGAGCTCTTCAGTAAGGCCATTCTACTGCCAATGTTTGTCTATGGAGATTGCATGGCTGTGCGCTTGATTTCATACACCTGTCAGCAACGGGTGTGGCTAAAATAGCCGAATCCACTAATTTGAAGGGGTGTCCAGATACTTTTGTATATATAGTGTAAGCCAAATAACAGTATAAAATAAATCAGATCTGACCGTTCAGACACAAGTTGCATTGCAAGGAATCAGATTTCTGTGGTTTCCATATGTTTGACGTATTTTGATACCGTTCCAAATATTCCATTCCAGCCATTACAATGAGCCCGTCCTCTTATAGCTCCTCCCACCAGCCTCCTCTGATACCAACCAATACTTCCCTATGATACACATGCCTGGAGATCTCAGTCAGTCAGTCAGTCGGTCGGTCAAACAGCAATATTATTTGAGTGACTTTATATCTTGGAGGACCAGAGTGAGTCTCTGTGGGGGTTGTTAATCATGACATGTCCTGATGGAGTTCCAGAGTCTCTGTGGGGGATGTTAATCATGACATGTCCTGATGGAGTTCCAGAGTCTCTGTGGGGGATGTTAATCATGAGTTCCAGAGTCTCTGTGGGGGATGTTAATCATGACATGGCCTGATGGAGTTCCAGAGTCTCTGTGGGGGATGTTATCATGACATGGGCCCTGATGGGATGTTCCAGAGTCTCTGTGGGGGATGTTAATCATGACATGGCCTGATGGAGTTCCAGAGTCTCTGTGGGGGATGTTAATCATGATGGCCTATGAGTTCAATCTGTGGGGGATGTTAATCATGACATGGCCTGATGGAGTTCCAGAGTCTCTTGTGGGGGATGTTAATCATGACATGGCCTGATGGAGTTCCAGAGTCTCTGTGGGGGATGTTAATCATGAACCTGGCCTGATGGAGTTCCAGAGTCTCTGTGGGGGATGTTAATCAGAATGCGATGGAGTTCCAGAGTCTCTGTGGGGGATGTTAATCATGACATGGCCTGATGGAGTTCCAGAGTCTCTGTGGGGATGTTAATCATGACATGTCCTGATGGAGTTCCAGAGTCTCTGTGGGGGATGTTAATCATGACATGTCCTGATGGAGTTCCAGAGTCTCTGTGGGGGATGTTAATCATGACATGTCCTGATGGAGTTCCAGAGTCTCTGTGGGGAGGTTATCATGACATGGCCTGGAGTTCAGTCTCTGTGGGGATTAATCATGACATGGCCTGATGGAGTTCCAGAGTCTCTGTGGGGGATGTTAATCATGACATGTCCTGATGGAGTTCCAGAGTCTCTGTGGGGATTGTTAATCCATGACATGTCCTGATGGAGTTCCAGAGTCTCTGTGGGGGATGTTAATCATGACATGGCCTGATGGAGTTCCAGAGTCTCTGTGGGGGATGTTAATCATGACATGTCCTGATGGAGTTCCAGAGTCTCTGTGGGGGATGTTAATCATGACATGGCCTGATGGAGTTCCAGAGTCTCTGTGGGGGATGTTAATCATGACATGGCCTGATGGAGTTCCAGAGTCTCTGTGGGGGATGTTAATCATGACATGGCCTATGGAGTTCCAGAGTCTCTGTGGGGGATGTTAATCATGACATGGCCTGATGGAGTTCCAGAGTCTCTGTGGGGGATGTTAATCATGACATGGCCTGATGGAGTTCCAGAGTTCAGATCTGATCCAGCTCCAGGTGTAAGGAGCTGAACTAGGCTAAAAGGCCATGGTCTGCCCCCTGGTCCAATAACCTTCAGGAGACCTGTAATCACCACTAAGAAGGGTCACATCACATCTCTACCACACCACTGGAGTCAGGCAGGCAGGCAACTAGCAACACCATTTTTTTACAGGACATGGAAAAAGCTTGAGCGAAAGTAAGCATTCTTGCTATAAGAGTCATAAATGAGACTGAGCTGCAGTTTAAGGAGAGAACAATATGGTGGAATCAGCCAGCCACACAGTCAGCCAGTCAGTCATTCAATCAGTCAGTCATTCATCCTGCCAGTCAAACAGCCATCCAGCTAATCAGCCAGTCAATTATTCGGCCTGCAAGTCAGCCAGCCAGTCAGCCAGCCAGTCAGTCAGCCAGCCAGTCAGCGAGCCAGCCAGTCAACCAGCCATCCATCCATCCAGCCATCCAGCCAGCCAGCCAGCCAGTCAGCCAGCCAGCCAGCCAGCCAGCCAGCCAGCCAGCCAGCCAGCCAGTCAACCAGCCAGTCAGCCAGCCAGTCAGCCAGCCAGTCAGCCAGTCAGCCAGTCAGCCAGCCAGCCAGCCAGCCAGCCAGCCAGTCAGGCCCACCTCCACAGTGAGCTCCAAGCAGACAGTGTCTGGTCATGTTCCTCTCCTTTACTCTGCTCTGCTCAAACTGACAACATTGTTCCTGTGACCCAACAGGTCACCTTGCATGGTAACAGTGGACACCTCATCCTGGGGCGGCAGGTAGCCAAGCGGTTAGAGAGTGGGGACAGTAACCCAAAGGTTGCTTGTTCAAATCCCTGAGCCGGCAAGGTATAACAATCTGCCGTTCTGCCCTTGAGCAAGGCAGTTAACCCCTCACAACAACTGCTCCCCGGGCACCGATGACGTGGATGTCGATTAAGGCAGCCCACGGCACCTCTGATTCAGAGGGGTTAAATGTGGAAAACCCATTTCGGTTGAATGCATTCAGTTGTACTCAATTTCCCAATCCTCTTTTTATTGAAAACACTGGGCTTTGGAGAGTGCTTCTCAAACACACTAAAAGTTCAAGAGCACGCAATTCCAAAACAGGTAAATGACCAATCACTTGAACCTTTTCCAAACATATCCAACCCCTGTTCAGATCCAGGTGGAGTTAACACATCCAACCCCTGTTCAGATCCAGGTAGAGTTAACACATCCAACCCCTGTTCAGATCCAGGAGGAGTTAACACATCCAACCCCTGTTCAGATCCAGGTAGAGTTAACACATCCAACCCCTGTTCAGATCCAGGAGGAGTTAACACATCCAACCCCTGTTCAGATCCAGGTGGAGTTAACACATCCAACCCCTGTTCAGATCCAGGAGGAGTTAACACCTCCAACCCCTGTTCAGATCCAGGAGGAGTTAACACATTCAACCCCTGTTCAGATCCAGGAGGAGTTAACACGTGGACCACCACACCCCTCTGAGCAATCATGCAACACTAGTGTGTTCCAGAGAGCTTCTCCATAACTCCTCCAACCTCAACACAACAGACCCCACGTCAGAGAGCTTCTCATGAACCAGTCCAACACATCCAACACCCCAGTCAGGAGATTTCACAGTCCAACCACCTACAGATCAGAGAGCTCTACATGAACCAGTCCAACCTCAACACAACAGACCCCACGTCCAGAGGAGTTTCATGAACAGTCCAACCCCTTCAACACAGAGAGTTCCATATCCAACCTTTCAACCAGACAGTCAGAGAGCTGACTCAGAACCAGTCCAACCTCACAATCAGACCACACGTTTCAGAGAGCTTCTCATGAACCGTCCAACCTCAACACAACAGACCCCACGTCAGAGAGCTTCTCATGAACCAGTCCAACCTCAACACAACAGACCCCACGTCAGAGAGCTTCTCATGAACCAGTCCAACCTCAACACAACAGACCCCACGTCAGAGAGCTTCTCATGAACCAGTCCAACCTCAACACAACAGACCCCACGTCAGAGAGCTTCTCATGAACCAGTCCAACCTCAACACAACAGACCCCACGTCAGAGAGCTTCTCATGAACGTCCAACCTCACACAAACAGACCCCAACGTCAGAGAGCTTCTCATGAACCAGTCCAACCTCACACAAACAGACCCCACGTCAAGAGCTTCTCATGAACCAGTCCAACCTCAACACACAGACCCCACGTCAGAGAGCTTCTCATGAACCAGTCCCAACCTCAACACAACAGACCCCACGTCAGAGAGCTTCTCATGAACCAGTCCACCTCAACACAACAGACCCACGTTCAGAGAGCTTCTCATGAACCAGTCAACTCAACACAACAGGGACCCCCACGTCAGAGAGCTTCTCATGAACCAGTCCAACCTCAACACAACAGACCCCACGTCAGTGAAGCAGGGTGACAGTTAAACGAGACTGGCAGTAAAAAGCTGAGAGTTTAACAGCCAAAAACACGTTCTGTTGTTGCTATTGGAAACTGATGAGAACGTTTACACCATTAAACCTGGTGGACAGAGACAGTTTTTCAGTCGCATGGGACAGCTGTGGGCAGAGTTCAAATCCATTCCCACTTTATAGAGGAATGCTATCTGAGGCTCCTTCAACGGGACACCCAGATATCTAAACTTCCAGACATCTTTAAGATGCCATGCTAAGCCGTCTTTTGATGGTATCAGTTAACAGAGAGTATTCATAAGGCTACACGATACAGGCATCAAAATAGCTCGAACTCACCCCCATGATCCTCTATCCTCCTCTTCTGTCAATCAACGGCTTTATGTGGACAAATATTACTGCTGTGGTATGTTGATAGTCAACAGAACCTGCTTGTTAAAGGGTTAAAGTGACAGTTCCTCTGTCAGCAGACGTCCCAGCAGACACCAGAGTATCCATTTCTATAATCCTGTCACATATTACATTACCCCTCCTGCTCCCTGTACACATCAGGCCTTGTTACGTCTGTATATATGGTGCTCTCTATGTCACACAGATCTACAATAGACGTGACACACTGGAGACAGTAATATACACTGAGAGAAATACTAATCACATACATGGAATTGGATCCTTGCCATGCAGAAGTTGAGGCGACATTATGGGCAGTAAAGTTTACATTATAAAACAGACAATAATCAGATCAAGGAACACCTACGGTACAAACCCTGTTTCCTGCATGGGCCATCAGATCCCGCTACATCTGCTGGGAACAGAAACCTGATCTGTCTATAACTAGCTATGGATCTATCTTCTCTTCTTTCCCAGGGGCTAAATACGGGCTGGATCATTCAAACAGGAACAGAAAAAGCCCTCCTCCCTTGTGATTCCCTAAGTGCACATTTGGTGTTCTGTGAGAAAGTGGAGTGTGTAAATACTACTGTGCTTTACTGTGGCTAACCCCTAAAGCCACTTCCCCGGGGAGAGGAGAGGGAGAGAAGGGAGGAAAGCTGGGTTTGGGGCTGGGGGGTAGGCCTGCCTGGGGAAAGTTGGGGTTGGGGGGGGGGGGGGGGGGGTACAGCGCCCCCTGCTCTGTGTAACCAGTCTGCCCTGCCTGGGCCATGCCTGGCCTTTGGGCCCTTGTCTCTGATTGTGTGGTGGTGGAGCATTCCTCCCTCCCTCCCTCCCTCCCTCCACAGCCTGTATAAAGCTGGGTCTCTGCTGGTCTCCACAGCCTGTATAAAGCTGGGTCTCTGCTGGTCTCCACAGCCTGTATAAAGCTGGGTCTCTGCTGGTCTCCACAGCCTGTATAAAGCTGGGTCTCTACTGGTCTCCACAGCCTGTATAAAGCTGGGTCTCTGCTGGTCTCCACAGCCTGTATAAAGCTGTCTCTCTACTGGTCTCCACAGCCTGTATAAAGCTGGGTCTCTGCTGGTCTCCACAGCCTGTATAAAGCTGGGTCTCTGCTGGTCTCCACAGCCTGTATAAAGCTGTGTCTCTGCTGGTCTCCACAGCCTGTATAAAGCTGGGTCTCTGCTGGTCTCCACAGCCTGTATAAAGCTGGGTCTCTGCTGGTCTCCACAGCCTGTATAAAGCTGTGTCTCTGCTGGTCTCCACAGCCTGTATAAAGCTGTGTCTCTGCTGGTCTCCACAGCCTGTATAAAGCTGGATCTCTACTCAGGAGGGACAAAATCCCTCCTGAGATGTGTGCAAACCTGGTGGCCAACTACAAGAAACGTCTGACCTCTGTGATTGCCAACAAGTACTAAGTCATGTTTTGCAGAGGGGTCAAATACTTATTTCCCTCATTAAAATGCAAATCAATTTATAACATTTTTGACATGCGTTCTTCTGGATTCTGTTGTTGTTATTCTGTCTCTCATTGTTCAAATAAACCTACCATTAAAATGATAGATTGATCATTTCTTTGTCAGTGGGCAAACGTACAAAATCAGCAGGGGATCAAATACTTTTTTCCCTCACTGTACAAGCTTTACTTTGTCTGAAACCAAAAGGGAAACAGAGGGCAGGAATGTTCCTTGGGAGCATGTTCACAGCTTCCTCTGAAGTGGGCCAAATATTTCAATAGAATTCCTGGTGTATCAGGTTTGGTCTTCAGCCTCCCTCTACACCACTACAACGCTCTCCTATCCTCCTCCTCTTCCTACACACATGTTGTTCGTTCTAGTTAGAATTGCGGCGGTCTTTCAGAGTGCCAACACTCTGTTCCTATAAGGGTTACAAGCCTGCTGCTGTCTCCTGGTCAAGACAATCAGGGAATCAGGAGACATAATGAACAAAGCCTGAACAACATCAGATGTACTGTCTGTCTGTCTGTCTGTCTGTCTGTCTGACTGTCTGACTGTCTCTGTCTGTCAATGTCTGACTGTCTGACTGTGTGACTGTCAATGTCTCTGTCTGTCTGACTGACTGTGTCAGACTGTGTGACTGTCAATGTCGGACTGTCTGAATGTATGTCTGACTGTCTGTCTGACTGTTAATGTCCGACTGTCTGAATGTATGTCTGACTGTCTGTCTGAATGTTAATGTCAGACTGTCTGAATGTATGTCTGACTGTCTGTCTGAATGTGTGACTGTCAATGTCTGTCTGTCTGTCAATGTCTGTCTGTCTGTCTGTCAATGTCTGTCTGTCTGTCTGTCTGTCTGTCTGTCTGTCTGTCTGTCTGTCTGTCAATGTCTGTCTGTCTGTCTGTCTGTCAATGTCTGTCTGTCTGTCTGTCTGACTGTCAATGTCAGACTGTCTGAATGTATGTCTGACTGTCTGTCTGAATGTGTGACTGTCAATGTCTGTCTGTCAATATATGTCTGTCTGTCTGACTGTCAATGTCTGTATGTCTGTCTGTCTGTCTGTCTGTCTGTCTGTCTGTCTGTCTGTCTGTCTGTCTGTCAGTCAATGTCTGTCTGTCTGAGTGTGTGACTGTCAATGTCTGTCTGTCTGTCTGTCTGTCTGTCTGTCCTGTCTGTCTGTCTGTCTGTCTGTCTGTCTGTCTGTCTGTCTGTCTGTCTGTCTGTCTGTCTGTCTGTGTGACTGTCTGTCTGTCTGTCTGTGGCTGTTGCCCTCACATTGATCTGCTGCTGGCACTGGGTCCAGTATGGACACAGATCAGTCACAGCTGAGGCCACTCACTGCAACTCAGTGTCCAGAAATCCTCTGCTGGAGCTGTTAGAAGGTGACCTTTAGATGGAGCTTTATTTATGAGGGAAGTAACCATCTCAAATAGGGAACATTCACATAACAGTGACTTCTACAGTATTATTTCATCATGAGGGGTCAGGCCTATCACATCTTAAACCATGATGAGTCAATGCTGCCCGTGCTGGGAGTCAACTACGCAACTGAACAAATAAAAGCAACCACTCCAGTCATGTCATTTAGACGACATATCTAGTAAACTAAAGATCTGTATCAAACCATTCCAGATCACACAGGTAGAAACCCAGCAGCTGGATCTAGACAAATAACTCTAATTTTCTGAGGAGAGAGGTTGACCTCATCAGAACACATAACTCTCCTGAGTCTCCTGGGTCCTTTATATGAGTCAGCACAGTCATGGCTGAGGCAGGGAGGGAGGCCAGGAGAGAGAGGGAGAAGGAGAGGAAGAGAGAGAGAGAGAGACAAAGAGAGAGACAGAGAGACAGAGAGAGACAGAGAGAGACAGAGAGAGACAGAGAGACAGACAGCGAGAGAGACAGAGAGAAAGAGACAGAGACAGAGAGAGAGAGAGAGAGAGAGAGAGAGAGAGAGAGAGAGACAGAGAGAGAGAGACAGAGACAGCGAGAGAGAGAGAGACAGAGAGAGAGAGAGAGAGAGACAGAGAGAGAGAGACATAGAGAGACAGAGAGAGAGAGAGAGGAGCGAGAGAGAGAGAGAGAGAGAGAGAGAGAGACCAGGGCCAGATGAGGTCTTGGCAGGTGTCATCACTCCAGTTTTACCATGTTTTCACACAGCCTTCTGGCTACCAGACCAGAGCAGCGCAGATCAGGCCAGAGCACACCAGGTCAGACCAGAGCAGGGCTGATGAGGAACAGGGAGAGACCAGGGAGGGAGGTGCTGAGTCCGATCCAGGTCACTGGATATTTGCTTAGCTGATCCAACGATGGGGACGCAGCTAGCTTTTAGCACGTCTTAACAAGCTTGTAGGGAGCTGGGTTTAATGGCTGAGATGGAGCAATGCTAGGATCTGGAACTGGACACTGAACCCCCTTTATGACCAGTCACACATTCAGGCCTGTCTGTTAACACTGTATAAGTCACCAACATCACATTACATTTACATTTACATTTACATTTACGTCATTTAGCAGACGCTCTTATCCAGAGCGACTTACATTATTATTATTTTTTTTAATTTTTTTTCATACCCCCTGTGGGAATCGAACCCACAACCCTGGCGTTGCAAACGCCATGCTCTATCAACTGAGCTACATCCCTGCCGGCCATTCCCTCCCCTACCCTGGACGACGCTGGGCCAATTGCGCGCCGCCCCATGGGTCTCCCGGTCACGGCCGGCTACGACAGAGCCTGGATTCGAACCAGGATCTCTAGTGGCACAGCTAGCACTGCGATGCAGTGCCTTAGACCACTGCGCCACTCACATACCATTTCACTGCTGTTTCTATGGCAGTCGCCCATTTCATTTATCAGTTATGTGTTGGTCCAGGGTGTCTCACCTGTTGCAAGTCCTACAGCGCAGTATGCAGTGTATGTACAGTGTTCTGGCTGATGTTGATGAACGTTAGGGTTAGGATTAGGGTGAATGAGTATCTAACAGTAGTCTCACCTGTTGCCAGCTCTGTAGGGCTGTATCCAGGGTATGTACAGTGTACTGGCTGATGCTGATGTAGACAGGGTCTATGAAGACGTTCCCGTCCAGGAGGATGTTGTTGGAGCAGCGCGTGGCCGCAGCCTGGCCCTGCAGTATGAACGGCTGCAGCAGGCAGAGCCAAGTCAGGTTCCGGTACTCCAGCAGTCTGCAGTCCAGCTCAGTGGAGAACTGGAGCTCCTGGCACAGCCGGGAAGAACTACCCTTACCGCTACCACCGCTCCACTGGCGAAGGAACACCCGTGGCTCTTGCGCCCTGATGACCAGGTACTCCTGCTCCTGAGGCAGCTTCCTGTCTGGCAGGAAGGGGCGGAGTCGACGTGACGGCACTGGAGAGGGAATAGCCAGACAGACAGACAGACAGACAGAGGAGATGTGAGTGAATCAAAATATACAACTAAAGAGATGTTCCAGTACAGTTACACTGCATCAGTTGTATGATGTTCCAGTACAGTTACACTGCATCAGTTGTATGATGTTCCAGTACAGTTACACTGCATCAGTTGTATGATGTTCCAGTACAGTTACACTGCATCAGTTGTATGATGTTCCTAGAGAACGCCTTGAGATGAAACACGAGAAAATAGCAAAAAAAAAGCCCAATTGTGATTTTCTTCTGGAAAGTTCCACTTTGTGTGACAGTGTTACAGTACCTGTGCCCAGCTGCTCCAGGTGGTGGCAGAGGTGCAGCTGTATCTGTGCCAGGGTGAGAGAGACGCCCAGGGAGGGCACGGACCAGGGGGCGAAGCAGGAGTCGACCCGGGTACAGGCTGCCAGCGCCATGGGGGACACCAGCTGGTCACAGGGCAGAAGATGGGACACCGAGGAACCCTGCTGAGAACCTGACTCACTGTCAGAACTGTAAAGACATACATAAATAAATATTAAAAGATTGACAGTATTTAAAGCTGACTCACTGTCACAACAGGGAGGGAGAGGAGAAAGAACAAAGATCAACACTTCCAGTATTTTGTTAGTGTATATTTTCTACCTCCGGGTCTGATCTAGGGAGGGAGGAGAACAACACGTCTTTGAATATAGTCAGTACTGTCTAGAACACTATCCTGACTGATCCAGAGACAGCAGATAAACATAGAAAGACCTAGTAAGAAATAAAGAACCTTTAAGGTGAGGTGCCCAATCAGAAAGATACATGGAAGTCTCAATGGCAGTGGAAGGTTCGGCCGATATTTTCTATTTTATGTCGTACCACCACTGACCGTGACATCTACACAAACATTCTACTCCATTCTACTGACAAGATCACAGGAAGAGAGGATAGCGGTTAGGAAGCGTCTCGTCCTCCCCTACATCTGGTCCAGGGTTTAGGTTAGCTGTTACTGCTGCTGTTGCCTGGAGACGGGCTGGATGGACATTAACAGGGTGTCATGGAGGATGACTGGACGGACATTAACAGGGTGTGATGGAGGATGACTGGATGGACATTAACAGGGTGTCATGGAGGATGACTGGACGGACATTAACAGGGTGTCATGGAGGATGACTGGATGGACATTAACAGGGTGTCATGGAGGATGACTGGCTGGACATTAACAGGGTGTCATGGAGGATGACTGGACGGACATTAACAGGGTGTGATGGAGGATGACTGGCTGGACATTAACAGGGTGTCATGGAGGATGACTGGATGGACATTAACAGGGTGTCATGGAGGATGACTGGCTGGACATTAACAGGGTGTCATGGAGGATGACTGGATGGACATTAACAGGGTGTCATGATGACTGGATGGACATTAACTGTCACGATCGTCTAACAGAGATGATGAGGACCAAGGCGCAGCGTTGCAGGCAAACATAGTCTTTAATTGAGACACGATCAAAACAACAAACGAAACGTGACAGCTCACGGTCTAAACTGAACAGACTTGAAACAAGATCCCACAAACACAAATGGGAAACAGACAGTTTAAATATGGCTCCCAATCAGAGACAACCAACGACAGCTGACACTCGTTGCCTCTGATTGGGAGCCACTCAAGCCAACATAGAAATACCCATACTCGATAAACAAATTAAATGCACACCCTGGCTCAACATGCAAGTGTCCCCAGAGCCAGGGCGTGACATTAACAGGGTGTCATGGAGGATGACTGGCTGGACATTAACAGGGTGTCATGGAGGATGACTGGACAGAGGATAATTGAGCTTAGCGACTATTGGCTCTGTCATTAGTTGCTACTATGATCCATACAACTGCAGGAGGAACAGGAACAGAGGCACGGTGGATAACCATCACATGTTGGGTGCGTCCCAAATAGCACACTATTCCCTACGTAGTGCACTACTTTTGACCAGGGTCCATAGTGCTCTATATAGGGAATAAGATATCATTTGGGACACACACTTTGACAATAAAGGAAATGTACTGTTTGGAGTATGATTGTAATGAAATGCAGATGTATATTTGGCTTTTCACTGGGTTGGTATTTTATGTTGTACTCTTCTCTTTATTCCATGTTTTCTGATTCCTCCCATTCTGCTCCTCGGGAGCTCTTAAACCCACACAGAATGTAGGCTTGGCTGTTAGCTGACACAGAAAGTCCCCAAACCCAGGGAGGGAGGGAGGGAGACAGAGAGAGAGAGAGAGGAGAGAGAGAGAGAGAGAGAGGGGGAGAAAAGAGAGAGAAAAGGAAAGAGGGAAGGGTGGAGAGAGCAAAAAGGGAAAACCAAAGGTAGGAGGAGAGGGGAAGAGAGGAAAAAAGGGGGGGGAAAACCGAGAAACGGAAACAAGGGGGAAACCAAAAGAGAGAGAGAGAAAAAATAAAAGGGGAGACAGAAAAAAGACAAAAAGAACAGGGGAAAAAGGGGGAAGGCAGAGAAGAGAGAGGAAAAAAGAGAAAAACGCAGAACCGGGGAGAAAAAAACAAAAAAAACAAGAAGAAGAAGAAGAGAGAGAGAGAGAGAAGGGGGGAGAAAGAGAGAGAGAGAGAGGAAGTAAGAATAGATAGGAAAAATAAAAAAAAATACAAAAGAAATAAATATCCCCCAAAAAAAATACCATATAAAAAAACAAAAAAGGAAATAACCCCCCTTTTCAAATTTCCTTTTTCACTCCCTTTCCTAGTGAAAAACCACAGGGGGCCCCACGCAAATTCGTCCTTTTTCCACAAAAAAGGCAACCCTTTTAAAAACAAACCAACCTGTAAATACAAAACCCTTTTTTTATTGTCTTACTATTTGCATATCATACAACACTGTATTAGACATAATATGAACACTTAAACAATGTCTTTATCTTTTTGAAACTTTGTGATTGGTAATTTACTGTGCATTTTTTTATTGCTTAATTCACTTTTGTTTATTATCCTTTGGCAATGTAAACATATGCCAATAAAGACCCCTTAAATAAAATTCCAATTAAATTGAGAGAGACAGTGAGAGAGCAAGAGGACGGAGATAGATAAGAGAGATATAGATAGATGATAGAGAGAGAGAGAGAAGAGAGAGAGAGTATGATTTAGATAAGATAGAGAGAATCGAGAGATCAGTAGATAGTCAAGAAGGTCCAGTATATGTTTTTCTGTTTAGGTTCTCTGGCGCTCTCCCCTGATCTAACTCCAGATGCTGAAGCTGAGCTGAGCCACACCAAAGGGCTCTCCTCTCTCCCTCCATCCCATCCTTCCTCTCCCCCCCTGCCCCTCTGCCTCCCTCCTCTCCGCCTCCTCTCCCCTCCTCTCTCCTCTCTCCCCCTCCTGTCTCCTCCTCTCCCCTCCTGTCTCCCTCCCTATCTCCTCTCCTCTCCTCTCCTCTCCTCTCCTCTCCTCTCCTCTCGCTCTCCTCTCCTCTCCTCTCCTGGCCTCCCTCCTCTATCCTCGCTGTCTCCCTCCTCCCTCTCCTGCCTGCCTCCTCTCCTCTCCTCTCCTCTCCTCTCCTCCTCTCCCTCGTCCTCTCCTCTCCCCTCTCCTCTCCTCTCACTTCCTCTCCTCTCCTCTCCTCATCCTCTGCCTCTCTCCCCTCCTGTCTCCCTCCTCTCCCCTCCTTTTCCTTCGCTCCTATCTCCCCTCTCCTCTCCTCTGTCCTCTCCTCTCCTTGCATCCCTTCTCCTCTCCTCTCCTCTCCTCCCTCTCCTCTCCTCTCCTCTCCCTCATCCTCTCCTCTCCTCGTCCTCTCCTCTCCTCTCCTCTCCTCTCCTGCCTCCCTCCTCTACCCTCCTTTCTCCCTCCTCTCCTCTCCTCCGCCTCTCCTCTCCTTCTCCTCTCCTTCTCCTCCCTTCTCCTCTAAACCCTCCTGTCCCCTCCTCTCCTCTCCCCTCCTGTCCCTCCCTCCTCTCCCCTTCCTGCCTCCTCCTCTCCTCTCCTATCTTCCCCTCCCCCTCCTCTCCTCTCATTCGCCCTCCTTTCTCACCTCCTCTCCCCTCCTTGTCTCCCTCCTCTACTCCCTCTCCCTCCTCTCCTCATCCTCTCCTCTCCTCTCACATCTCCTCTCCTCTCCTCTCCTCTCCTCTCCTCTCCTCCCCTTCCTCCCTCCTCTATCCTCCTTTTCTCCCTCTCTCTCTCCTCTCCTGCCTGCCTCCTCATCCTCTCCTCTCCTCTCCTCTCCTCTTCTCTCCTCTCCTCTCTCTCCTCTCCTCTCCTCTCCTCTCCTCTACCTCCTGTCTCCCTCTCTCCTCTCCCCTCCTGCCTCCCTCCTCTCCTCTAACCCTCCTGCCTCCTCCTCTCCTCCTCCCGCTCCTGTCTCCCTCCCTCGCTCTCCTCTCCTCTCCTCTCCTCCTCCCACTTTTTTCCCCTCCTGTCCTCCCTCCTCTCCTCTTGCTTCCCTCCTGCCTCCCTCCTCCACTTTTTTCCCCTCCTGTCTCCCTCCTCTCCTCTCCTCTGCCCTCCTGCCTCCCTCCTCTCCTCTCCCCTCCTGTCTCCCTCCTCTCCTCTCCTCTCCTCCTCCCTCCCTCCTCCACTTTTTTTTTTCCCCTCCTGTCTCCCTCCTCTCCTCTTCCCACATCCTGCCTCCCTCCTCCACGTTTTTTCCCCTCCTGTCTCCCGCCTCTCCTCCCTCTGCCCTCCTTCCTCCCTCCCCTCTCCCCCCTCTCCCCCTCCCAAGAAGCAGAATGTCCGCTGACAGCCACTTGGTGTGCTGGGAAATCTCAGTAGTAGTCTGAACCTGGGCCATGTCCACTGCCTCCCCCCTCCTCCCCCACCTCCCCTCCCTCCCTCCCAGATGTGGAGCGAGTGCCCGACACACAGAGGCTTTTGTGCTCAGAGACGCTCAACGCTCTGCACTGTACTGGCTCACTGAACCACACACACACACACAGATAAACACACACACAGCGAAGAGTTAATCCTCTCTCTCACCTCTGTTCGTCTCCTCCGTCTGTGTTGTTGTTGAGGACGATCCTCCACAGGTCAGAGGTCACCAGCTCCTTCTGCTCATTGGTCAGCGTCAGGCTGGGCAGGGTCAGCTCGCAGGCGCTACTCTCTGATAGGCTGAACTCTCGGTAGGGCACGAAGGCGTGCTGGAGCTCGTCCCAATACTCCAGGCTGCACGGCACCTGCAGAACAAAATCTAATATCTCATGACCTCCATTAAATAATCAGAGCTAACGGCTGTTGACCTGACTAGCTGCTTCCAGCTGAGGAGAGGAGCTGGGAGGAGGAAAGCTCAGAGGAGACTGACTAATGATCATCCTCATTCACTGAGATGACCAGCTAGAACAGTACACTATAGTATAGTACTGCAGCCGGGAGCACCAGGCTTCCTGAGGAGATGAGGACAAGAGAGCTGCGGGGGGAGGAGAGGTGGGAGGAGAGGTGAGGAGGGGAGGAGAGGTGGGAGGAGAGGTGAGGAGGGGAGGAGAGGTGGGAGGAGAGGTGAGGAGGGGAGGAGAGGTGGAGGGAGAGGTGAGGAGGGGAGGGAGGAGAGGTGGGGAGGAGATGGTGGGTAGGAGAGATGGAAGGGGAGGAGAGATGGGAGGAGAGGTGGGGGGAGGAGGAGGAGAGGAGGGCGAGGAGAGGAGGGGAGGGGAGGAGAGGTGGGAGGAGAGGAGAGGTGGTAGGAGAGGAGAGGAGGGGAGGAGAGGTGGGAGGAGAGGAGGGGAGGAGAGGTGGGAGGAGAGGAGGGGAGGTAGGAGAGGTGGGAGGAGAGGTGGGAGGAGAGGAGGGGAGGAGAGGAGGGGGGAGGGGGAGAGCTGGAAGGAGGAAAGACTTCTGTGGATTCCACCTCCATGTTATTGTAGCAGATGGGATTCTGGGAAACTCACTCCTCAACCTGACCACATTTACATTATGACGTTATGACCTGCCTCTGGGCCCAGTGGGAGACTGACTGATGATCATCCTTGTTCACTGAGATGATCATGTACTCATCAGCTACTGCTGCTAATATCCTACTACTATTACTACTACTACTGCTACTATGCTGCTACTACTACATTTACATTTACATTTAAGTCATTTAGCAGACGCTCTTATCCAGAGCTTGTGCTGGGGACAATAAAAGGCCAATCTAAAATGTGCAGCTTTGTCACACAACACAATGCCACAGATGTCTCAAGTTTTGAGGGAGCGTGCAATTGGCATGCTGACTGCAGGAATGTCCACCAGAGCTGTTGCCAGAGAATGTAATGTTAATTTCTCTACCATAAGCCGCCTCCAACGTCGTTTTAGAGAATTTGCCAGTACGTCCAACCGGCCTCACAACCGCAGACCACGTGTAACCACGCCAGCCCAGGACCTCCACATCCGGCTTCTTCACCTGCGGGATCGTCTGCGACCAGCCACACAGAAAGATGATGAACCTGAGGAGTATTTCTGTCTGTAATAAAGCCCTTTTGGTTGGAAAAACCTCATTCTCATTGGCTCCCCCCAGTGGATGGGGCCCTTGCCCTCCCATGCCACCCTGGGCTTCGCCCCTGCCCAGTCATGTTAATCCATTAGATTAGGGTCTTATTAATTTATATTTCACAATGATCTGATTTCCTTATAATGAAACTGTAACTCAGTAGAAAAATCGTTTGAAAATTGTTTGCATGTTAGCACTTATATTGTTGTTCAGTATACTCAGGCCTGTGCTCCTCCTCTCCATACAGATATACATCAAGACTGTGGCGCCTCCTCTCTACCATATATTACATCAGGAATCCAGGCCTGTGCTCCATTTCCTCTCCTACCACAATTGACTAAAGCAATAACTTTACAAACCAGAGGATATTAGTCACTCAATATGTCTCTTCTCCATGTTGACTAACACCAGCTCATATGACCACCTTACCAAAGAAAACCATAGCATTTACAGTAACCTGCAGTAGAAGCCAGTATAAGACCCAGTGACTGGTTAGAGATGACAGGTAACTCTCAGCAGTACAATCCAACCCTGTACTGGGCTGAGCCCCAAATGGCACCCTTTTCCCTAAATAGTGCTTATGGGCCCTGGTCAAAAGTAGTGCATTACATAGGGAACAGGGTGCCATTTGGGACCACCACTGGTCTGGTAGCCTGTCCTGCCCGGGGGCCAAACTCATGTAACTGTCAGCAGCACCAGGGCTGTGTGTGGAAGGCAGTATGTGTGTGTGTGTATGTGTGAGTATGTGTGCATGTGCGTGTGTGTGTGTGTGTGTGTGTGTGTATGCTCAGGAGGTGTGAGCTGTAGAAGGATAAGGTAACCATAGGGTGATTATGTTAGCTGAATGCCAGACATGTTTTGCAGGAACCTCTCATAATTGTAGCTGACAGGGTTTTGCACCCGAGCAGAGCGGAAACCACCAGCCTCCACAGAGACTTCTGAGATCTACATCACAACAGAACACAGACCCTCAGATATACCTTGTGTAGCATGACACCATACCATACATATGGGCAGAGAAATATGGAACAGGCTGGACATTTGCATCACTACATTTACTGTTGGACTTTTTCCACTATACAGCAGGCTGCAGATACAGAGCCTTGGTGAGGAGAGGAGAGATACAGAGCCTTGGTGAGGAGAGGAGAGATACAGAGGCTTGGTGAGGAGAGGAGAGATACAGAGGCTTGGTGAGGAGAGGAGGGATACAGAGCCTTGGTGAGGAGAGGAGAGGAGAGATACAGAGCCTTGGTGAGGAGAGGAGAGATACAGAGCCTTGGTGAGGAGAGGAGAGATACAGAGCCTTGGTGAGGAGAGGAGAGATACAGAGCCTTGGTGAGGAGAGGAGAGATACAGAGGCTTGGTGAGGAGAGGAGAGATACAGAGCCTTGGTGAGGAGAGGAGAGGAGAGATACAGAGCCTTGGTGAGGAGAGATACAGAGCCTTGGTGAGGAGAGGAGAGATACAGAGCCTTGGTGAGGAGAGGAGAGATACAGAGCCTTGGTGAGGGAGAGGAGAGATACAGAGCCTTGGTGGGGAGAGGAGAGATACAGAGCCTTGGTGAGGAGAGGAGAGATACAGAGCCTTGGTGAGGAGACGAGAGATACAGAGCCTTGGTGAGGAGAGGAGAGATACAGAGCCTTGGTGAGGAGAGGAGAGATACAGAGCCTTGGTGAGGAGAGGAGAGATACAGAGCCTTGGTGAGGAGAGGAGAGATACAGAGCCTTGGTGAGGAGAGGAGAGATACAGAGCCTTGGTGAGGAGAGGAGGGAAAGGAGAGGCAGTTTCACTCAGCCATGTAGTTTGAGGTAGCACTGGTTCTGTGTGTGTGTGTGTGTGTGTGTGTGTGTGTGTGTGTGCGTGTGTGTGTGTTTAGCTGAAGGATAATCAGTTTCATTCTCTCAGTCAGACATATAGTTTAAGGCCATTTGTAAAGTACTGGCTCTATGTACTATGAGGCCATTTGTAATGTACTGGCTCTATGTACTATGAGGCCATTTGTAATGTACTGGCTGTATGTACTATGAGGCCATTTGTAATGTACTGGCTCTATGTACTATGAGGCCATTTGTAATGTACTGGCTCTATGTACTATGAGGCCATTTGTAATGTACTGGCTCTATGTACTATGAGGCCATTTGTAATGTACTGGCTCTATGTACTATGAGGCCATTTGTAATGTACTGGCTCTATGTACTATGAGGCCATTTGTAATGTACTGGCTGTATGTACTATGAGGCCATTTGTAATGTACTGGCTCTATGTACTATGAGGCCATTTGTAATGTACTGGCTCTATGTACTATGAGGCCATTTGTAATGTACTGGCTCTATGTACTATGAGGCAATTTGTAATGTACTGGCTGTATGTACTATGAGGCCATTTGTAATGTACTGGCTGTATGTACTATGAGGCCATTTGTAATGTACTGGCTGTATGTACTATGAGGCCATTTGTAATGTACTGGCTCTATGTACTATGAGGCAATTTGTAATGTACTGGCTGTATGTACTATGAGGCCATTTGTAATGTACTGGCTGTATGTACTATGAGGCCATTTGTAATGTACTGGCTCTATGTACTATGAGGCCATTTGTAATGTACTGGCTGTATGTACTATGAGGCAATTTGTAATGTACTGGCTCTATGTACTATGAGGCAATTTGTAATGTACTGGCTCTATGTACTATGAGGCCATTTGTAATGTACTGGCTGTATGTACTATGAGGCAATTTGTAATGTACTGGCTCTATGTACTATGAGGCCATTTGTAATGTACTGGCTCTATGTACTATGAGGCCATTTGTAATGTACTGGCTCTATGTACTATGAGGCCATTTGTAATGTACTGGCTGTATGTACTATGAGGCCATTTGTAATGTACTGGCTGTATGTACTATGAGGCCATTTGTAATGTACTGGCTGTATGTACTATGAGGCCATTTGTAATGTACTGGCTGTATGTACTATGAGGCCATTTGTAATGTACTGGCTCTATGTACTATGAGGCCATTTGTAATGTACTGGCTCTATGTACTATGAGGCCATTTGTAATGTACTGGCTGTATGTGTGGGTGAGGAAGGCACCTGTCTGTCTGCCTGTGTTCTCCGGACAGTGCCAGTCAGTTCCTCTGACTGTGTGTATATTACATCTCCTAAACAACATGTAACCTGAATATCTATGGCTGGCTAGAGGACAGATGGTAGACTAGTCCTCCTGGTCCACATCCTGCTGTGTTTAGAGACACTCTGGCAAGGCAGAGGATTTACATATCGGATTTCCCTCCCCACCCCTCACTCTCCCGCCCAACACTACAGACAACATGGCCTTGCAAATACAGATTCCCCTAGCCCACGCGCTTACTCTATTCAGGTTTGTGTTCATTAGGACAAACTGTAGAAAAAAATTTAAAACGTGCTACGGAAAACTAAAATGAGTGTTTCTTACTGGACGAGAAGATTGTATCGATTTCTTCAGTTTTGTGCATAATTAACACGACCCAGCTCAGCTCACAGACCTGCTCAGTCCTCAGCTCAGAGTTCCTCTCTCTTCTCTCCGTTAGTTTTCTGTTATTTATCTGATGCTTCTCGTTAAGTCTGTCTGAATATTTCCCTGCAAGCTCTTATCACCATGGAGACAAATTGATTCGACATCGTTCTTGAACTAAAGATTACACTGGAGAGGTAATCTACATTTTCTAGAATGACGTC